ATAGTTAATCTGTGTGATTAATATTTTTCAACTTCTGTATTTGTAGACTGTTGACTGGGTCTCCAAGCTGGATGCACAGCTTTATCCCATTCTCACCTCAGAATCATCTTCAGCAACAGTTATACGGGAAAACTTAGAGAAGAAACTTGAAGTTGTTATACCGGAAGTACGCAAAGCTCAAAATGAAATAGACGAACGAATTAAAAATGTTGAGTCCTTATCTGAGAAATGTAAGTTTGTTTGTCTTAAAGGCAGCTAAATTCTGTACTGGAGAGCTTTGCTTTCAAACATCTGATTTTTCTTATACTGTAGTGGCTGCAGAAGAAGGTCAAAATGAAGATGGCAAGGATGTTCTTCAGAAATTGACTGACTTACGAGGAAAACTTCAAAGTGTCCTCAGTGATTATCAAGTCTTAGTACAGCTGCTTCTCTCCTTCTTCAAAAATGTCTCTGAGGTTTGTGTACAAGTACTGGTTTAAAAATTCAATAGAAGATTTATCAACTATTCATCTATTCATTGATAATTTATTTTCTTTGTTCCTATTTGTACCTAGTTGGACAAAACAATTGGAAACTTCCAACCTGGAGATCAAGAGGCAGCTGATGGAAATGTAGAGACTCTCCTACGCGACCATGATGCTTCAAAACAAGCGGTATCAGAACTCTTCAAATTTACAGAAAGTGAAAGTCAGCAAATAATTGAAAAAATTAGACAGCAGGTAGCCACTTAATGCTTCTGAAATATTTCAGAATTCCTTAGTAAACTACTTTTGCATTATTTTCATTTTTTCCTTTCCTTTTTTTTTTTTTTAAAATCAAGGAACCAGCAGAAGCAGCAAAACTTGATGAGGAGTTTTTGAGAAAGCTATTAGCAGACAAACAAAAAGCTTGGGAAGAGTCAAGTGGGGCTCTAAGAACAAGATTGGAGAAAAATCAACAACAAGGTGCTTTTGATCGCGATCTTGCTCAAATTAATTATGCAATTGCTGACCTGGGTAGGCAACTAGAAGCCATCAGAGGCCAGTACGGAGAATCCCTCAGCTCTGCTAAGGCTACTTCAGCTGCATTTGACTATTTTGAAAAGACAATTGAGGTAAATTTTTACAATTTAAAATATGTCTTTGATGTTATGTACAGTTTCTCTAATAATTGGCTTCTACCATGACAGCTACTGGAGCAACGTATTCAAACTTTTGTCTCCACTACCAAACAAGTCCAATCATGTCAAGATAAGAAACCTAGTGATGCTGAAGCATCCCATGTAGAAAAAGAACTGAATGAACTCCAACAAAGATGGAGTGACTTCCGAAGCAAAGTTGCGGAGAGTAGGAAATTAATTGCTCTGAGCATCCAATACTTCCAACTTGTTGATGAGGTACATTATTTTGTAGCCATTTTCTTTGCTATCTATCTATCTATCTTTGCTATTTATCTTTTCTTTCTTTTTTTTGTTGTTTTCAAATTGAGCATTCCAAAACCATATTATAATTTCAGGCTGGAGAATGGTTTAAAGAGGGTAGCCGTCTTCTTGTGAGTATTGCTCGTCGTTCTGCTGCTGTAAGATTCCCAGAGTCAGCAAATGAGCTGTTAGCTGAAATGGAAACATTTCTAAAGCCAGGTGAAGCTAGGCAAGATGAACGGATTCAGAAAATACTTGAACTTGCTGAAACACTTTATGGTCAGTTTATTTTCAACCATCCAAGGTCATGGTTTCATTACACTTGATCTTTAATCTCATTTTTTCATCATTTTAGGTGAGGAAAAATCTCAACAGGTGAAAGTAGTACTTAAAGAAAATAAGGAAATGCTAGATTCATTCTCAACCATCAGCAAAGAGTTGAATAGCTTGGCCAAGTCTTTATCACAGGCTGAAAGGGTTGAACCAGTTACTTGTGAGGAAATAAAGGTAGTTCTGGTAATGTTTTTCTCTGTCTTTTCTAAAATTTTCATGTAAATTTATTGAATAAATGGGTAATTAATGCATTTGTGTAGGAACCAACTGAAAGCCAAAATATCTCATCAAGTTCAACAACTATTGGAAATCTGGTCATCACAGAACTTATATCAGAAACAGCTGGTACATTGGATGAAGTAAGTTTTACTTATGTATATCAATGTTATGGATCAGAATAGTAAAACTATTAACTTTCTATTATTTCTATCTTTCTATCTAAACATATGTCATGTAATTACTACCTACATATTTTTTTTACATAGATGGACACAAGCTCCCATAATGGTGAAGTTCAACCAAATATTGAAGAACCTCCCAAAGAGGAACCTGTTATTGAGTCTACAGTCTCATTAAATGCTGAGCAGACAGAGGGCAGAGTTGTTATTGAAGCCTTGTCGTCAGATGAGGCCACTGAAGATGTGCGTAAAGAAGTACTCATCTCTCCTCAATTTACTGAACCATTAAAAGATGCTTCTATTCAAGAGGGAGGAAAATTCACCTTTGAATGCAGGTAAAAGGATGATTTTCATAGAAGTTTGGCATTATTTCAAAAATGGACACATATTTATCAAAGTGCATTATGAACTTCCATTTACTTTTTTAGGGTGGTGGGCTCTCCTAATCCAGATATTGTGTGGGAAAAGGATGGCATTTCAATTAGTAATAATCCTGACTACATGACTACACAAGACGAAACTCTATGTACCTTAACTATAGAGGAAACATTTACTGAAGATTCAGCTCGCTTCACTTGTCGTGCTACCAATGTAGCTGGATCATCAGAAACAAGTGCCACGTTAAATGTTATTGGTAGGCAATCAACTCTTCTTTTTTGTAATGAATCCATACTCTTGATATATCCAACTGTGGATATTATACTTATGTATTTTGTTCCCGCTATAATGGCAGAGTCTGAACCTGAGGAACAACTTCATCCACCGGTGTTTTCAACCCCCCTGGCAGACCAAGTGGCAAAAGAAGGATCTGCCCATACTTTAGAGTGTATTGTGGAGGGGCTACCTTTGCCCACTGTTCAGTGGTACAAAGAAGAAAACTGTATTGATGACTCACCAGAGCTTGCCATCACATATAACAATGGTCAGGCAAAATTGAGACTTGAACAAGTTACCCTTTCAGATCAAGCTCAGTACACCTGCAAAGCTAACAATACCCTTGGCACGGCAAGCACTTCAGGACGTCTCTCTGTTGAAAGTAAGTATTAAATTGGATTCTCATGAATTTTTGTTTTTAATGGATAAATTTGTAACTTCCACAAGATTGAGTTGAGGTACTTATCATCAATATCTAGTGCGGCTTAAAGTTTATCTGTATTTTTGAACCCAGGCCTGAAGCATATTAATTTCTGCAACACAGAGAATGAATAAGCTAGCAACAACCACTTTAAATATGTACTTTTTCTTCAATTGCAGCGGTTCAATCAACAGAGGGTCCATCATTCACTTCTCCTCTCTCTAATGTTATGGCAAGAGCAGGTCAAAAGATCAAGCTTGAATGTTGCATATCTGGAACACCCCTTCCTTCACTTGTATGGACTCATGATGGCAAACCTTTGAAAGAATCCCGGGATGTAAAGGTTTGTTCATATTTTTAAAAATATTCACAAAAGTATTATTTATATACATATTTATATTTTTATTATGTAATATTATCAGTATTATCATCTAGTTTATTTTTAAAATGTCATATTATTGTTTACTAGTTTGCAACTCTCGTTTTCATTTTCTAGACATTCTTTGAATATGGGAAGGCAACTTTAGTCATACCTGAAGCTTTTCCTAAGGATGCTGGAACTTATGTTCTGACAGCAAGTAATGATTCTGCAGAAGTTACTTCTTCTTGCACTGTCACTGTTAAGGGGCGTCTTCCCACAGAGACATCGGATTCGGAGCTTGCAAGTGATATGGAACCCATAAAGCCATCTATTCAAATGTCTTTGAAAGATACAGAAGTCAAAGAAGGAGATAATATTAGACTTGACTGCATTATTGTTGGGCAACCAGAACCAGAGGTGAGAAAACAGAAAAGTGTTTTCAAAATTCTCCAACTTTTTTTCTTTGTCTGTAGTTTTACTCATTATGTTTATTTCTAGGTAATTTGGTACCACAATGACCGTCCGGTAAAAGAATCTGCAGATTTTCAACTTCTGTTCCATGGTGATCGCTGCTCACTAGTTCTAAGAGAAGCATTACCAGAGGATGCTGGTTTGTATCGTGTTGTTGCTATTAACTCCGCTGGAGAAGCCTCTAGTCAATGCCAGTTAGGTGTTCTTGGTAAGTAGAACTTATTTCTCCATTTAACCAATCTTACAGACATACCCACTTTTTTAATCTGAAATGTTTATTTTGCAGCTGCGGATGTAGAAGGAGCGAAGGAAATTCCAGCATCAGAGAGCAGATCAAAAGCAGTCTCAGAGGAGATTGTGGCTATTGCCCCTAAGTTTACACGCTTACTTGCAGATGTTTTGGCTGGTGATGGGGAGTGTGTAAAACTGGCATGTACTGTGGAGGGAACTCCGAAACCAACCATAAGATGGTGCCAAAACAACAAAGATATTTCTACCTCTGATCGCATCAAGGTGAATGTCAGCATTTTATATCATATGAAGTATCTTTATCTCCACGTTTCATTGAAAATAAGGAATTTTTTTCAGATGCTAGAGGAAGAAGATGGAACAATAATTCTAGTCATAGACTCAGTCACTGCTGATGATAGAGGTGTGTACACTGCTAGAGCAAGTAACAGCCTTGGTGAAGCCAAATGTTTCTCAAATCTAATAGTCAAGTCAGCCCTATCGGAAAGTAAGACATTAGAATTGGCAGACCGGCAAATTCCTCCTAGTTTCAAGGAACAATTTGCAGATTCTCTAGTTTTTCGAGGAGCACCAATCAAGTTTGAGTGCATTGTGGCTGGTAAACCAGCTCCAAAGGTAAATACATTGCAGTTTTAGCAATTGATTGCTTGATAGGTTTATGGAACAAAACATTCTCTATCAATCGTCTCATTAATATTTTTATCTTTATTCTCTTGTAGGTGCGCTGGCTTTTCAATGGTGAGCAGGTCTCTGGAAAGAATTTTCTTGTGTCAAAGAGTGGTGACAGAGATGTTTTGTCAATACAAGAAGCAGATATAAGTGGTTCTGTCTCTTGTACTGCTGAAAATGATGCCGGAAAATGCGTTCTTTCTGCCAATCTTACTGTGCAGGGTATGTATCAAATAGTCTGTTTTAGAAGACTTTATGTACCAATGGGTCTCACAAAATACTTGGCAAAAATTTGGCTGGGTTGTGTAGGGAGCAAAATGTGCTTGGCAGTAACATGTGTGGGAGTCAGCCGTCTAGTCAAATTGGGGTGACCCAGCCCAAACTGATTCCCACCACTTTGAGTGTAAAGCCGGACAGCGGCGGGGCGGGCAGCGGGCAGCGCCCTCCCCCGAACCCACTCACTTGGCACACTGCCACACCCAGAAACTCAGTTCTAAAAGAGAGTGTGTGTGGAGGGAGGGGGAGTTTGGTTTGGGTGATGGCTCGGCTGCTGCCCGGCTTTGCTCGCTAGCCGAGTGCTAGTGTCAGTAGAGGTCCCAGAGGTACACAATACTCAGCTCTACCATGTGGTTGGTTTTCTTGTCAATATTTTTGTGTGTGGAAATTTGTGTTGGGAGTCCCCTGTTTTTAGTTTAAAGTTCTCCTCGACGAATTTTGTTCAAAAATAACAATTTTACTATAGCTTTTTAGTTAGTTTTGACCTCAGCTTCATCCCGTCATTTTTCCTTTTTAGAGCCCGGTGTGATTGGACTAATGTCCGGACCAGATGGGGGTGGGGTTTCCTCCTCGGAGGAGACCTCACAGTCATTTACAATGAAGAGGGCTGTTTTCATGCAGTCCTCATCAACAACTACATCAACGTCAGGTACTGGCCCTGTTCAAACTCAAGCTCACAGCGTCAGTACCATGTCAGAACAAGTGTCAAAGAAAGTTGATGATGAACCAGCGATACAGGTATCTTAATTTTCCACAATTTTCTGCATTACATTCTTGCTGTAGTGTGATTAAGAATATTATAAGAGTAACTATTTATTTTCTTTCACAGATGCAGTCTGAACACAAACAGGAAGTCCATAGAATAAATGATGAATCATCTGTTAAAACAGAAAGCTCAGTTTCTGTGTCACAAGGAGGAGACGAGAGAAAGGAAACTATTAAGTCTACCAGTGGCACAAACTTAGCTCTCTCTGGTCAAGCACCGGCAGTAGGTGGTCTAGCAAAACCTACACGAAAGTCGACTGCACCTCGTTTTGTGACGCCACTGAATGGGAAAATTGTAGATCAAGGGGCTGATATTCTTCTAGAGGGAATTCTTGATGGTAAATTAAACCAATCGCTTTCTTGCTTTTACAAACCAAAATGCACTGAAACAAAGAAATATTTAATTATTTGCTTAGGCTTCCCTACTCCGACCATCACCTGGACCAAAAATGGAGTTGATTTGACCTCCATCCCAGAAGCAGCCTCCATCACCACTTCATGGGAATTGAACCGCGTTCGCTTGGAAATGAAAAACGTGTCTGTGAAGGACGCAGGCAGGTACACCTGCCGTGCAGACAACCCGGTGGGCTCAGCTTCCAGCACTGCAGATATCATCGTCAAAAGTGAGTCAGCCCGTCTATTTTCGGGAACACCATTGTTTCTTCGATGGGTAGTTGACCTGTAGAAGCAATTATGGGCCATAAATGAGACGCATCTCCTGTTAACTGGCGTCCCTTTAGCCCGACTCCCCCATCCAAAAATAACCCGTGTGTGCCCTGCAGAGACCGTGTTCCCACCTGTGATGGGGAAGAGGCTACAAGTGCAACAGGCGCGGGTTGGCGAGCGCGTCGCTATGGAGGTGGAGGTCACTGGCCTCCCCGAGCCCACAATCACGTGGAGCAAGGACGGGTTGCCTCTCAGCGCCTACCCGCACCTGGAAATCCGAACTCGAACCCAAGGAAACTGTTACACCCTTGTTATTGATAAAGGTAAAATAACTGTGAACAGTGACGCGTTTACATCAACATGTATACTTGGATAAAAGGAGCCTTAGGACATGCTCACTTTTAAATTTGAAATGATGATTTTGTGTTTTGCCTTACAGCCACTCTGGCTCATGCTGGTAACTATGCTGTGCGGGCCACCAATGCGGGTGGAGAGGCAAACTCCTCTGCGGATGTGGCAGTGTGGGAGGCTCTCCCTGATGAACTCATGGACCAACAGCAGCGCGACGTGATTTTCAGAGACCTTATGGACTTCCCTGCAGTGGTAAGTTACAATTTTAGTCAAATATTATTTATTTTACAAGAGGACTGGCCCGTATCAAGTTGAATAGAGAATTATATCAGAGAAAATTTTATTTTCTTCTGTTCTGTTCTGTCCTATATTTCCTGTCTTTTATGTTAACAATTTTTTATGTAGCCATGGTATCTATCTATCTTTCCAAAACTGTGGTAGCTGTGCAAATTAAAATAGATGTTTGTGTCTTGTTCTTACAACAGCAGAAGCACGAAAGTTTCCAGACCTCCAAACAAAGTTTTCTTCAGACTGGTGGTTCATCTTCATCATTAGTATCCAGAGAAGTGCCAGTGTCAATTATTTCTTCCCCTGCCAACTCTGTACCTGCTGCAGCTAGACCAGCTGAGTCTCTTAATATCTCTGAAACAACAAAAACTGAAAAGCATTTCTCTGTCAAAGTTGACCGCACTTCTTCTCCAATGCTTGTGAAGCCCGTCACTGAGACTCAAGCCAAAGTCACTACAAGCACCTTTTCTCTGGGCCCTGAGCACAAAGAGACAAATATTCCTGTAATGCCAGAAAAGTCCATTACTGTCGTTCACTCTAGGTCAGAGCTGGACTCTCTGAATCTCCTTCCAAAAACAAGTGATTTGACGTTTGAGAAACAGTCAGGAACTGGAGCTGGCGATGAAGACAGCACCATCGACAGTTCATCAATCCCCACGCAAACTGCCCTTCAGTTCTTTATGTCAAAAATCAAGGAGAGTGAAGACACAGGTGTAAGCAGGCCACTGGAACCCAAGGAGCCCGTGTCTGTTCCAACTCCTCAAAAGCTGACAGAAAAAATAAGCCTGTTTGAGCGCCGAGAACAAGAGGAGTTCTCTCAGCCTAAATCTCCAGAGCTCAAAGAACCAATCCCAGTCACTAAATTATCTGATAAGATCAGCCTGTTTGAAAAATATGAGGGGAAACCAGAAGCTAGAGAGGAAACAAAGAAATTCGAAGAGCAAATTTGGAAATCGTACAAGCAGGAGCCTGTGCCCGAACCTCAACCAGCGGCCAGTTTACCCGAATTCACAGAACCTTACATGCCTGGAAAGCAAGTCAAAACAGAAATCCAACACTCGCGGGTGGTGCAGCAAGAGACCAAGACCTGGTCCGGAACGATCCAAGTCCCTGGTAAAATTGTACCGAGCTCCTACACTCAGCCCATTACCTTCAAGGAGGAGTCCAAGACGGCGTCCTATCAGAAGAGCTTTGTCAGCCCGGACGCAGCCCCCGTGCCTTTCCCGGACGAGTTCGGACTGCGGCCGGAGCCCCCTCCGGAAATGTGCTACACGCCCAAGCCAGAGCGGGCCACCAAGGTGCGGGAGGACATGGCCGAGAGGGTGAAGAAGCTGCAAGACTCTCAGAAGTCTCTCGACCCCCTGCAAGTGCCGACCGGGGCCGTCAGGATATTCCCCGCACCTGCGCCGTCCTCTCAGCCAACAACCCCGCAGCCCCCGCGCGCCCAACCTGCTCGGCCTGAACCCGTGCAGCCGCAGGTGCAGGTGCAGCCGCAGGTGCAGCCGCAGGTGCAGCCGCAGCCGTCGGGCGCCCACACACCCTCCTTCTTGTGGCCGAGCGAGCGCGCGCCGGCCCCGGCCCGCGCCCCGGAGAGGCTGGAGGAAGCCAAGGAGGAGCCCGTGGTCCGGCAGCAAGTCACCATAGACGACACGCGGTTGAAAAAAAACGCGGAGACGGTAGGAGGCGGCGTCTGGACAACTCCAACTGCTGCTGCAGCTGAAGTGCCGCCCCTACCGGTCACCAACAACACGTCCATGTCCAGTTTCACATCAATGAGCTCCTCGTCGTTCCAGCAGACGAGGAGCTACGAGAAGAGCGGCAGCTCCGTGGAGCAGCACCTGGGGCCGATCCTGCGGCCCGCCGCGGCCGACGTGCCCTTGAGAGCCACCTCCCCCCGCCCGGCTGCCGAAGCCATCAGTATGGAAAGACTGTGGACGAGTCATCGAACTTCCGAGTCGGAGAAGACGGCCTTCGCGCCCGTGTCGCCAGCAGTGCCCGCCCCGAAGCCCGCCCCGCGGCCGGTGTCGGACGGCTACACGATGAGCAGCAGGGACTTCTCCTCGGAAGCGAGCATGTACTCGGAGCAGACGCGTGGCCCCTCTCCCAGACCTTCTCACGAAGGTCTTGCCATGGAGAAACTGTGGGCGCCACACAAGCCGGCGGACGTGGCCCCTCCTTTCGCTCAGGACCGCCCCGTGTCCCCGCGGCCCTCGGTCAAGCGCAGCTGGCCGCCGCCCAAGCCCTCCGAGGTGGAGAAGATCTCCATCCCCTGGGCGCCACAGAACGAGCCGGAGAAGGTGTGGAGCCCCGAAGCCGACCTGAGGATGGAGAGGTTCGAGTTCGAGAGGAAGGAAACCAAGCAACAAGCCGAGGTGGTCGAGGGCTTCAGGCCCGTGGCTGCCCCCAAACCGCTGCCCGACCTGCCGCAGCCGCAAGCCTTTGTGCCTGTGGCCGCCCCCAAACCGTTGTCTGATCTGCCGCAACCCCAGACCTTCGTGCCTGTGCAGCTTCCGCATTCGACTGTGCACGATGTCGTCTCGGAGACCAGGTCCGAGCAATTCGAGTCTTCGTGGAGTAAGACCGCCTCCTCCACCGAGCAGCAGTCTTCCATCGTGGAAGAAAAGCACATAAAACCTTCAGAGGCAAAGAAGATCTGGCCGCCAAACAAACCCGAGTACGACCTGCAAGCCCCATTCATGGTGAAGAAGATACAAAAGCGCGAGTCTCGGCAAGTGAAGGTGCAAGCGCCCGCGCCGGAGCCGCCCCTCTACCTGGAGCCCGGGCCGCCGCCCGAGATGGGCTTTGCGGCGCCGCCTTCGGAGCGCAGGAGGTCCATGGTCGAGTCCATCGAGGAGGACTTGGAGAAGAGCTTGGAGAAGGAGCTCACCAAAGTGGTGCCCGGAGGGGTTCGTGTCATCCCGCTGCCGCATTCCAAGAGCCACACTGCCGAAGAGTCTCACTCGTGGAAACAGGAAAAGTCCAGCTTTCTGGAGAAGAAAACGACCACGAGCTTGTCAAGGAAGGAGGAATCGTTTCAGTCGTCCTCGTCCGTATCCGCCCCGCTGGAGCCGGAGCGGCCGAGGGTGCAGTCTGGCCCTCCCCCGCCAATGCCCGCCAAGTTCGTCAAGAGCGACTTCGGGGGCAGTGACTACGAGAGCGACCTGGAGACGAGCAGGATCTCGGCCAAGTGGCGGCCGGCCGGCAGCGACAACGAGGAGCCCGCCTACCGCCGAGTACGCCCCCCGTCCGCCCCCGCACTCTTTGCATACCAGCCCGCCCCTACGCCTGCTCTTCAGCTTGAGCTCCAGCCTGCGCCCGCCCCGCCCAGCCTGGAGTCCCGGCGCACATCCTCCCGCATCTCGTCGAGCATCGCCTCGACCCAGTCCCGGTTCGCGCAGCGCTCCTCGGCGCCAGCCTACGTCGCGCCCGCCGCCACGGCCCCGGCCGCCGCCGCCGCCACGGCCCCCCTCGACCTCAAGCCAGGCTCCCCTCCCGAGTTTGTGCAGCCCTTGCCGGAGAAGCCGGCCCTCAAGACCCCCGACTCCCCGAAAAGTAAACACAAGACGGTGCGGGTGGTGGTGCCCGGCGGGCCCGTCGCGCCCGGGCCGGCCGAGAGCGGCTACATGGCCGACACGGACGAGCCGCACAGCCTGCGCAGGCCCAGGTTAAGGTCGCCGCCGCAGCTCGCGGACCAGAAGTACGAGTCCCGCAGTGTGTTGGAGTCCTCCTCTCGCATGTCCAGCATGGTGACCAGGACCGAGCAGAGCATGTCCTCCATGTCTTCCTCCTCGTGTCAGACGGTGCCCAAGGCGGCCCCGGCCCCGGTCCTCCCCACAAGCGTTGCCCGTTCCTTCAATAAGACCAGTCAGCGTCATGAGCGGAAATCCACCAATGTGTCTGCATTCAAGGTGTGCACAAAGCTACGCTTTGGACCGCAGTAGGTTGTGCTTTAACAACATTGGCCCCTTTTGATGGGTGTGCTTAAAAAAAACCAAAAAACAGTAGTTTGTAGCGTGTCGTTTGATGTTTTCCCTCCCACTGACTAATTTGCTCTGTTTGGTGTGTATTGACATTTCATTTTTAGATGTGTTCACTACGTTTTTGTCCTGTATTTGGTTCAGACAGGATGACAGAGACACATTTTTCATGAGATTTTTGAGTCACGTAGGGATCATCCAGAAAGTACGTCCATCATTCGCCGTTGCGAACCTGCCAAAGTCAGCGAATGCAAGCTCTCATAGCGCCTGGTAGGTAGGCAATATCGTGCATGCAGTGCGTGCGTGCACTGCGGGTTGGCCTACCCTAAGCCTCGCAGGCGCCGAGCTCCCGTAATTTGCCGAATGAATGTCAGAAAAGCGGACGTACTTTCTGGGCCATCCCTAATGTGGCTAACAAGAAGTGTCGCTGTGTCCTGGCACTTACCTTCCCACATTGGCAGAATTAATCAACGCTTTCACCCTTGATATTTTTGTGTTATCTTTTCCTCATCGCCTGGTGCAGACTAATGCAACTCCCAGAGTTGGCGTTGCGACAGCCAATTTTTTTTTTGTACATAATCTCTTTTTTGTGATAATCAGTCCAATTTTCAGGATTTTTCTTTGATTCGTTCACACTCTCCTCCCGATTGCGGACGTCTGCGTGCATTAATCCCGCCCCCCTTTGGCCGCCGCTCCCCACTGACGCCCTGCTCCGCTTGTCCCGCAGGAGGTGGTCCCGCCGCCCTTCTGTGCCGCTGCCCAGCCGGCGCCCCAGTGGCAGCAGCTTCCTGTGGAACCCGCCGCCCCCGCGGCCCCTGTCGCCGCCCCTGCGCCCGCCGCCGCCGCGCCCGGTGCTGCTCGGGCTGGGCCTAAGCGCGCCGCGGGACCTCTACCGCGCAGCCCCTCCAAGTTCATCAAGGGCGAGTTTAGGGAGAGCGACTACGAGAGCGACTACGACAACCGCATTCCTGCGGTATGGCGACCTGCCGACGACGCGGACGGTGCCGGCGCCGCCCTCGCCTCCGCGCCCGCCGCGTACCGACCCGTTCGCCCCGTGCTCACGCCCACGGCCTGCGCCGGGGGCCGACCTGTCGGCCGAACTCCCACTCCACCGACTGAGTTTGACCACCCTCCGCACTTTGGCGGACCTCCGCGACCCAAGTTCGAGCCCATTGAGAAGCAGCCCGTGGCAGCCGTGAAGCAGCCCAGCCGGCCGAAGCAGCCCTCCCAGCCCGTGCACGTCCCCGTCTTCAAACCCAAACCCATCCAGGCGCGGCCGCCGGAGAGGGTCGAGACGCTGGTCGCGGCCCCGGTGCCCGCCGTGCGCCGCGGCCCGCCCCCTCAGGTCCTGTACGCGCCCCCCGGCAACGCCATCCCCCCTAACACGATGCACGAGACGTCCCAGTCCATGAGTTTTGCCGAAGCCACCGAGACGAGTCGACGTGTCGTCAGCATGCAGCAGACGACACGAGTCATCAAGTTCAACGAGAAACAGCAGCAGCAGCAGCAGCAGCAGCAGCGGCAGCAGCAGCTGAGTAGGACGGAGACGGCCACAGAGCCCTTCCCCTTCCACGCCGAGCCCGATCACGCCCACGTCAGGCGCACGACGGGCACCACACCGCCGCCCCCCAAGCCCACCAGGTTCGTGCCCGGTGAGTTCCGGGAGAGCGACTACGAGAGCGAGCTGGAGGCGGTGCGGTTCCGGGCCAAGTGGGCGCCCAACGACAGCGACACGGACGAGCCGCACTACCGCAAGGTGCGGCCGCCGCCGCCCGCGCTGCACCCGCCGCGCTGCTCCAGCGTGCCCGCCGAGACACCCGACTTCTCGCTGCCCGCCTACGTGCCCGCGCCCGCGCCCCAGCAGCCCGTGCAGCCCCAGCCCATGTACGCGGCCACGGCTGCACAGACCGGCCACTCGGTCGAGTACCAGGCCGAGCAGAAGCGGCTGCAGCGGGTGGACGAGATGCGGCGGCGGTTCGAAGAGAGGAGGTCCACGACCAGCTCCGAGGTGAGTGTGGGGTTTGGTGACTCCGTGCACGCCCGGGCGCCAGAGCCGTGGCACCACGATGACCCTATCCTCTCTGTCTTACAGATTCAGACGTCGCAGAACACCAAGAGCCTCCGCCGTCTGTCTGCGCCCATCGGGTACGAGGTCGACCTGGTTCCTGGACCTCCCCCTGTCATAGCTTATGCGGGACCCAAAGTTCCTCCCCAGGCGGAATGTGAGTAGATTTCGTTAGGTTGGCTTCTGGGTCGGTTTGCTCAAGTAAACATTTGCGTTTTGTTATGTTCTTCAGACATAGCCTCAAGGCACATGAATGAAATGACTCAGACCTTCAAATCAAAAGCTCAAAGGTTTGTCAATGACATCATGACAGATTCAACAACTAAAACAGTTGCTTGCAAACCGGAAAAACCAATATTAAAGAAAACAAGCTCAACGGCGGACACCAAAGCACTCGCTCAGAATGGAGATGAATCACAGGCCTACAGGGAAGAATCAAGAGTTGCTGAGTATGGTAAGATGCCCTTATCCCTCTTTACATTTGCTCTGAAATTTGAAGCCTTAAGATTCACTAGATTGAGGACCAGGTAAATGGATATCGCTCACTTCCCTGCATCATTTTCCCCCTTGAATCTGGTTCTCTGCACTGTTTTTCCCCTTGCTTGGGAATGTGGGTGTGTTGGGCTGGTTTTGGTGTTGGTGTTGGTTTGGTAATCTGCAATGCATATTGCTCCCTCACACAGGAACAAAGCACATCGACCCTGATACTGGTCTCATCTATTTCAAGTATGACTTTGGGTATGAGTTTGGCATAATTCTGCCGGGAGAAGGGAAAGCTACGAACGGAAAAAGTTCAACAACTGTAAAGAGAGCCAGAATTGAACGCTCTCTCTCTAAGGATGAAGGTGGCGTGGATTTCCCTGTGCTGCATGAGAAGAGTGGAAATCCAGTCAAGGGTTTTAGTAAAACCACTGAGGACATCAAGACTGTACCCCAGTTCCGCCCCAAGAAATTCACTCATTTCAAAAGTGTCAAATGGGAACCTACCTCGGAAAGCGAAATGTCTGAAGCTGAAACCGATGCCAATCGGTGGAAACGATACAGTTTGCCTCAGCCGCTATCAGCTATAGATATTCCTGGGGGAGATATGAACACCCCAAGTCCAGTTTCTTTGTCTCCTAGCGTTCCAAGTCTCTCTCCTCATACTTCTGGCGCTACTCCTGGGCTTGATTCTTCAGGTAGAGGTATTAGCTTTGTTGTTAGTCAAATTTCATGTGTTCCCTGGTAGCTAGATGTTGCCTTAAGTAGATAAGTTAGCTTGTTACCCTTTGCTTGCCCGGTAAAAAAAAATTGGAGGACTGACCCACTCCTTTAAAAAAGTAGACTGCATTCTGCTACCCCCATAAATCTATTTTCTTTGCTACAATACAAGTTTCTTAAGTAGTACTATTGGAAAAGCAATGAAATCCTTTCTAACTAAAAATATATTTGCTTTTGTCTTGCTTACTAACACTTCTTTGAATATGATTGCACCTCAAACCATACCGATTTACTGTAAACTAATGCAAGTTCTCATTCAATTTTTTATTTTCCAGCTTCGTTAGGGAGCTCTCCCTGGACAGCAGTAGGAGGAAAGGGATACAAACCGGGCCAGGTTGTCAATACTACTGGGCTGCCAATAAATTCTGGAACAGAAACCCAACAGCAAAAATCCCCAGTTTTCATTACGGTAAGTGAAGGTTTCAAGATTGCAGTGCAGTTATGCTCTGATCGTTCCCCGAGGCGATACGAGGAGAGGAAACGTAGGGTGCCTTAGCCTTGCAGCTGGGTGCCCCACATGCAAAAGATTTCCGTCATAGTTCTGTGCACATAGTTTTGATTGCTTGGGCTTCCTACGGCTTCGCTGATGATAGCGCCTGCAACGCGCTGGGTAGGCCAACCCGCCAAACAGCGTTGTGGAGCCGGCGGCCCGCCCTGAGCGCCCCAATGCTGGGGCTTGGTCAAAAACTTTTATTTCCTTCGCGTCCCCGCAGGGAACGCTCTTTTTGGAGGGGCCGAAGTTGAAGTCAATATTTATACATATTTACCTAAATTTTATTTTTCCTTCGACAGCCATTAAGAGACATCGCTGTTGTCAATGGTCAAACTGCTCGATTTGAGTGCATCGTGCAAGCGGAACCTCTGCCAAATATCCTGTGGTCAAAAGATGGGAGAATCCTCGAGAATTCACCTAACACCCAGGTTCAATTCCGAAATGGTGTTTGTCGTCTTGCTGTTACCAACGCCACTGCTGGTATGTCCTTGCTGAATAAGCTTGATTTAATTCTATATTTTACTGTCTATATTTTAATTTTAATTTTTCATGTAGTTGACGCAGGAACCTACATTTGCACAGCTACTAACAGAGCCGGTACATCTGCAACAACTGCAACACTCTTAGTTCCAGGTGAGAGGAAAACTTCTCTCAATAGTAGGTCTTGAAATTGTCATGTTATCATGCAGTGCACATGGGGAATGTCCTTCTTTAATTTCTATTCCAAGCACTTAATACAGTTAAGGCTGCTGTCACAATTTAGTTTTCTGTAAAGAAATACAGAATTTATGTTGACTTGCTATGAAATTCCATTTTATTCTGCAAGTCTATGGTGTGGGAGTCTCTATTTTCTGTTCATGTTTCACTAATGTGCTGTTCTAGTCATGTATCAGAAACGCTTATGGTTTGTTGTTACTACTTTCTGTACAAAATTATTGGGTTATTTTATGTTTCCATATTTTAACTTTTGTAGTATTTTACCCCTGAAGTACGTATTGTTAGCATTAACTTCTACGTTGAAGTTATATTGTTTACTTTATGGCAGTAATGCCTGTTTTGTTTATTTTCACTGGTTGAACCGTTCTTTTCTGTTTAAAAGGTGCACTGTTAAGTGCATCATCAATTGAGACAGTGTTTATGTCCAAAGTTGTGTGATGCGCTGGTGCATTCATTTATCTGGTTTATATGCAGTTATCATACTGGTTGTGAAAAAACTGCCAGTTTTTGGGTGACATTATTTACTTTGCATGACATCTTTCTTTTGACCTATGTATTTGTATACTCTCTGTATGGAAGCATGTGGTATTCTTTGGGAATATCTATCTATTCTTACCTTGGTTAAGGTATATCTTTTGTAGTTTCTTTGCTTTCTTTTCAAAGCTCTGGATTAGATTCACTTCCTGCCCTTTCATCATTAGATATTTTTCTGACTTTGTTATGAAAGAAATTTTACTCATTTCTGTGTCACCAACTTTGTCAAAGAATAAAGTTATATCTGATGATGAGAGGGCTCTCTTATTGGTGTTCTTCTTGTTACTTTTCTATAATGCTGGCTGTTTGTTGTACTGATGGAATATCGGGTATGCTTTTTATTAAACGGTGATTTTGAAGCAGCTTGGTGGTGGTAAATTTCTTTCCCACACTTTCTTTGCAACTTCCTGTCCTACCAAACATACAAGTTGTTCTAATCCGGTTTGTGTAAATTTACGGCAGAAACCAATGGAAGCAACTTTGGTTTGGCATTGAATCTATTTCCTATTCCTGAACCTCTCGCACTCTACAGAATCATCTATTCACCTTCTTCCAATCACGAGTTACTTTCAATTTTCTGAAATAATGGAGTCATTGTTGAGAAAACTGTCATGTAGTCTGCATGAAGCATGATGATGACGACGACGCGCTCTTACTAACACCTGGGCACATAGTTTCGTTCTTGGTAGACGCCACACTCTACTCTGTCGGAACATGTTTGGGCTTCATATCAGTTCCCATTTTATTGTCGGGCCTAGAGGGTGGAAAATTGGGAGAGACGTCAAGAGGGACGAAGAGTGGTGTGGGAGAGGAGAGGTGGTGGGAGTTCTATGCACCCTACACTATGGAGCGTTTACTTCTCACTGCGAGGGGCCTAACACAGAAACAGCCCCCCCCCCCCTTACTCCCGGAAATCCCCCAATCCATCGTTCTTTACGGACGTCCCCTCACAAATAGGCGGGGGCCACACCCCCTATTCCCCTCACCCTCACGACCCCCGCGGCTCGAGGTGCGGCGAGGCGCCGAAGCTATTTGTGATCTTCTTGGGTGGTAGCCAGGGCGCTAGCGCCCGCGGGCCTACATACCCCTTCCTTCCTTCACCTCCCCGCCCTTCCTCGCCGTCGCCACCCACTCTCCCCTTGCGCCTCGCGCACCCTGCGCCGCCCCCTCCCTCCCCCGCCGCCCTGGCCGTGACGAAGCGCCCAAGAATGCGGTGACCAATGGGACTCTACTCCACCTCCGCGGCGGCCGGCGCCCGCGGCGCCCGCGGCTCGTCGCTGGGCGGCGGAGAGTGTTGTTTTTTAGCCGTTGTTGTCATCGTCGCCGCTACCCCTCCTCCACCTCCTCCCTCTTTGAAAGCCCCCCTCGCCCCTCTCCCCTCAGCCGTTTCCGCAGGGGGCGTCTACAAATCACGACGTCGGGGCGACGAGGAAACAAATGTGGCGGAGCGCTGCTGACGCCCGCCACCGCCCTGCCGCTGTGCGCCCGTCAATGTGGCTCAATGAAAAGGGCTCGACGAAAGTGGGCCACGAAGGCGACGACGTTATTTGCCCCCTCCCACCACCACTGCCCCCCCTCCTCCCTCCCCGCCCGCGTCTGTAGGTGCCAGAGTAAATACCAAAAATAACTGGATGCCCGTTCCCCCCCGCTCTCCTACATTTCTTATTCCCTCGGTGAGTTCAAATAATAGTTATTTTCCGGACGAGTCACCGCTCCGCCTCCCCCCTGCCGCAGCCCCAGCCGCCGCCTGCCGCCCTTGACGAGGCGCCGCGGTTGGTCGCGGCCACACGCACGCGCTCGCGGGGGCTCTCCCTGTCCTGTCTGTCTACAATGTCGCGGGCCTGGGCCGGCCTGGCAGCAGGACGACCTTCCGTCAGCAAACTTGCGTGACCTCAACAATGGGCGGCCCTCCCGTCGTCGTCGCCAACCCCGCCACGCCGGCCACGCCGAGCGAGGAGGTGGCGAGACCGCGAGGACCAACGGGACCAACACGACGACGACTGCATTCCCCTCGAAGTGGGTTGCTCCCCTTCCGCCCACCGCGAGCTCGTAAAAAGTCAAACTGCAAATTGAGTTTGACGCGCGGGGCCTTGCGCGCACCTGCCCTACCTCTGCCGGGCAGTGTCGGCGTGGTGGCGGGTGGGGCGCCGCGGCCAAGGGGCGGCGGGGGC